TGTGTGTGTGTGTGTGTGTGTGTGTGTGTGTGTGTGTGTGTGTGTGTTTGTGCACGCACATGCGCGCATGCACCTGTGCATGTATCTTTGAAATTGGGGTGGTTTTGAATAATTAATTTTTGTTTTTAAACTAAAAGAAACCATTTTAGCCCATTCGAAAGTGTACCATTCAGCACAAGAAAAGTAGAGATTAGAGCTTCAAATCCCTCCCACACCCAGAGGCTGAAGGACACAGCTTATTACCCTGGGAGTTGGTGTAGATCAAAGTTGTAGGGCCGTACATCACTGTTTCCCCGTGGACTTGAACATGGCACATTTATTTTCTATTATATTTAAAGAGTCTGGAACCACACCAAGGCCTGTGAAAGGACGTGATTCTGAGTTAGTCACTCAGCTTTCCAGAGAGAGTGTCGACCAAGCATGAAGCCCTAATTACATTACTCTAATTTCCTTCTAAGCCTAATATTGATTCATGCTTTAATGTAACAACGATCTGTGTGCAGATTATCTCTGTTCTGTTTTTAACTTATAACAGGTCCAAGGATCCTCTGGTAAACCCTGGAGCTAATCAGTTCTTGAAGAAAAAACTCTTGATTTTTTTTTTTTTTTTTTTTTATTCGCTGATGTCTATGCCTTAAGTAGTTTCAGCCTGACTGGTTTCTGGCCACTAGCACAGAACTCCTTAATGCGTGCTTGGGAAGAAATACACACAGTCCCTTCTGATGAGCTGGCTCAGCTCACCACTGCGTATATCAACCAAATTAATACGATACACTTTTTCTCTCTTTCGTGAGGTCTTACTTTGTTGCCCTGGCTGACCTGAAACCCTGGGCTGAAGTGAGCCTTCCTCACCTTCTTGGGTTGCTGGGATGGCAGGCATATCCTCCCGTGGCTGGCTGTATGAAAGTCTTACTACGTGAGCGACTACAGCCAGCCATGGCAGCGTGCGCCGTGTGCATGTAAGGCAATGAGCCCAGCTTCTGGTCCTGCCATTAGACTGTACCTAATGCCATTGACGTCCATCCAGATGGGAGGATTACCAGCACAAAGATTAGACCCTTCATAATTGATGTTTACAGCCCGCTAGACTGTGCTCCAGGAAAAACAGACACAAGATGCAAACTTAAAAATTACTAAAACGTACATGTTTTGATGTAATAATACTATAGAATACTGCATATATGCATACGTAAAGAAAGCTAATGTTATGTTTTTGAGTTAGCAGTTCTTGTTGGTACTGGACAGCATTAGCTAAACATCGTGGTCTTGGAGAGACCTCTCCCAGTAATGTTTGTTTATTTGAGGTGGAAGGTGAATGACGTAAAGAAGCGAAGTACAATTAATTCTCCAGTGGGCACCAATGACCAGTAGAGGTGGAAAAAAATTTAAAACAAAACCCCCAAAACTTACAATAGCAACATGAATGCATCCGAATGTACAGAATCCCCTGCATTTGGGGTCCCACCTGTCCCCCTTCCTGGTGACAAAACCACCATGGGACTTCTGCTGATCTTGACTGACAGCTAGAACAAATGCACAGCCATTTGTCCAGCCCTCATTAGCAGCACTGTTGGCCATGTTTCAGTTCTCTGGAATGTACGGGGAGAGGTGGCTGTGGCTGCCTGTGACCCACGGAGGAAGCCCAAATGTCAGCCTCCCCTGCCTGGCTCCTTGTGAGCGATAGCATCCTAACCCAGGGAAGGCAGCTGCTCCGAGCCTCGCTGGGTTTTAGTCAGGATGCTTGCGGCACAGGGGTGCTGAGACCTCCTGTCTGAGCATCTTCCCAGGCATGGTGATCTGGGTTGGTTAGCAGCCTGCTTTCCTTCTGTGTTGAGGAAGCATTCATCTCTTTAGACAAACAGGTGGAGACGCGCTCAGGATGTAAACATAGGAGCGGTTGGTGTGGCCTCGGAGGCGCCCCTGTTCCAAGTTCGGCTGGAGATGCATCTTGTTTGGCCACATGGTTCATGGTGCCTCGGTGCCAGCTGCTCACTCTGCCCTTCTTTCTTCAGATTGTCCCTGGATGTCACCGAGGCGGAGCTGCGCTCGCTCTTTGTCAGGACAAAGTCACTGCAGGAGAACATCCAGAGGGACCAGGAGCTGTGTCAGCAGTTACAAGACTTCCTCCAGGTCAGTCTCACAGGCCTGCCTGCTTGGGCGGCTTCCCCCCAGGCTAGTGCAAGGGTCCTTTCATGGCAGAGGACAGCAATGATGGCAGTCCTCTTGAGAAAGGCCTTCTGGTGACTGCACCTGGGCTTTCTGATCACACTTCCCTGCACTGAAATGCTGACAGTCCACGCCTCTCACCTGACAGCTTAAGGTTTGCTTCTGTAGCCTTTAGATTTTTGGACAGCAGGAGAGTTCCAGAGAACACCCTGGCCCTGGAGGACTGGCTCCGATGCTCCTTCACGTGTTTCTGTAGAAGAGAGACACCGAGTGTACCCGTCATGCTGCCTCCTGGCAGCAACAGCGCAGCTTCAGTGATCTCAGCACCTGAACACATCGTGAGCCCACAGGGTGTGTCGGGAGCCATTCCAAACAACATCAACAAAAACCAGTAGAGTGGATATGTTTGTGACAGCTCACTGTGACTCACTAATCACATAGGCTGACGTACTCCTTTTTCCCTTTTACCCTCCTTACCTAAAAAGAAGCGCTGCCTTCGCCCTTGTACGCTCAGCCTTCTGTGAGACCCTTGACCCACGGCAGGGCTGCCGTGGCAGGAGGAAGGACAGGGTTCTTGGCTGTCAACTTCTTGACTGGTTTGGAACCCAAGGCCTCGAGTCTGCTAGGCAGGTGCCGTGTGTACCCTGAGCCGCACGTACAGCCCCACCCCCCACCCACGGGGCGACTGCAGTGCGGAGGTGCTGCCATCTCAACACAGAGCAGTATGCATGTGCATAAAACAGCAAAAATCCAAGAACGAGAGCCACCACACATCCAAATGTGGATTCTGGCCGTTTCCTTCCGCACAGTTCATTGAGTATCAAGAGCTTATACTAAATCTTCTTGTTCTGGAGGTGCCATCGATTAAGCCTATGGCTTTGCACATGCTAAGCTCACGCGCTCACCTGAGCTATACCTCCAGATGTAATCTTGTACCAGATCTTAACACAGAAGCAAGGCTTCGATATAACGACCCAGTTGCCTTCTCCTCGCCGCTGGCTGCTTTTCAGTGGCAACCTTGCTTTAGAGCTTTACGTTTTTTTGGTAGTGTTTGTTTGTTTGTTTTAATGGTGTTAGGCTGGAATCTTGTTCATGTTGTACAGGACAGATCCTTCCATTACAGCCCAGCCTCCACAGCCCTTATTACCTGTATGTAAACAAAGGTGCCACGCAGACAGGCATTTTCCAGAGAGTGTGATGGGGCTCCTGGGAGGGGGCCGAGTGAGGCCACTAGCCTTGGATGCTAGTCTGAAAGTGGTGTGTACTTTGCTCTGAGCAGGGCAGGCTTGTGGCTTTTCTCATTTGTTTGGTGATTGCGTTTGTGTGTGTGTATGGGCTGGGACCCAGGGCCTCACACATTGCTAGGTAAGCCCTGCCAGACCTTACACAAGGTTTTTGAGCAGAAAGATGACAGAAACACATTTTTTCAGCTTGATTTCATCATTCTGACCCCCCTTTGGGTGAAGCCTGTGGCCTTGGGCGCTGGCCCACAGCAGGCCAGCAGGTTAGCGGTGAAAGTGCAGGCTCATCGTGCAGGGCGCTGTGGGATTCACGGCGTCGAACTCCACTGTGGCTGTTTGGTTTGTCCTCGGTGCCGAGGATTCCGTAAACACCTTTTCCTTCCTGGCATCCATCCACACATCCCCACGGGGGTGCTGATAATTCATAGGCGTGCATAGGATTCTTGTCAGGAGGCCCACTCTCCGGTAGTGAGCTGTTCTTGGCCGGAATCCGTATTTTGCCCCTCAGACTGACAGATAAAGGGTTATCTTTCTGTGAACACCCTCCTCTCCATGAGGCACACACATCGGGAGGCTCTCACTGCCTCGGGCCGCTGACTCAGCTGGTTACTCTCTCTGGCATTCACAGCCCTCTGTTTGTTCCCCACCACCCCTAGGATGTGTCTGGTTTAAGCAAAGGCTCACTGAGGGGAAAGGGGTTGGACTGTGGTAGGTGGCTCCTCTGAACGGAATTTCCACCCCTGCTATGTAGCTAGCTGAGGGTTCTCCTCCTCCAAAGCAGGCAACCTGTTTCTTTCCCATACCTTAGGCCCGGCCCCTAACTCCAAGAGAACTTGTTCATGGGTGGACTTTCTTAAAACACAAACATACAAGTCCTTTCATGACATAATACGCTTCCTACATTCCTTCTCCATATAAGCCTAGCAAACATGGCTGCAATGAAGGACCTCCAGGCGGTAGCTCAAATAGTCAGTCTTCTTCCTTTCCCCACACTGCCACCTCATTATGGTTCAGAGGCTGTCACTAACTTGTGTCAGCAAACTGTGCCTGTGACCCTTGGACATCACCAACCCCATTCCAGATGGCTTGGGAACAAGCCTGGGACACAGCCTTCTGTCAGTCCCACTACTTTGATGATGTAGTACTGAAATCCATGGCAGCCCTAGAAACAGACACAACCCAGAGGAGCCGGGAATGTCAAACACGAAAGTAGGGATAGGACCCACCCAAATCTCCTGGGGAGTTCTGATACAGCCCAAATGGACCGCAAGTGGGGCACAGCTGACCCAGGGAGAACCTAGGGTCTCACCCTGGGCAGCAGGGACAGTGACCCAGCAGAGTGTGTTTGGATAAAGTGTAGCTTTCCTCTCAGCAGGACAGCATGGGCAGCTTGTCCGGACAAACTAACATCTGAGACCTTGGCCCAGGGAAGACAAACAGCAGAATTTCTTAATGATGACAAGCTGTTTTCCTTGGTGTCTTTTCTAGTGGTCTTAAAGGTAAACTTTCGGTTAGTGACATTGTCCATGAGAGTTAAGGCTCTCCTATTTACTTACTTAGAGACAGGGTCTTGCTATGCAGCCCAGCTGGCTTTGAACCCCTAAATCCCCATCTCCATCTCCCAAATGCTGGGATTGCAGGTGTGTGCCATCGGCCCTGGCTTCCTCAGCTCCATTTGCGGCTTCTGGTCCCAGCGAGGAGGTCACCTTGTTCTCTTGAGGTCTGGGTTGGGTTGACTCATTTTCCTTTTGGCTCAGAGTGCTCCTTGCAGCCTTTCCCTTTCCAAAGACCTGAAATCGATCCCCGATGGAACATCACCTCAGCTGACCCTGCTTACCACACATCTTCCTGTCTGTGTTTCTAGTTTGCTGTGGACAAGCTGGCAGAGCTGGACCTCTGGAAACGGGAGCTGCAGGGCGAGGCTCACACCCTCATAGATTTTTTTTGTGAAGACAAAGAAACCATGAAACTGGACGAATGCTTCCAGATTTTCAGAGACTTCTGCACCAGGTTCAACAAGGCAGTTAAGGTACGGCTGGCGGTCCTGTTTTCAGGACCCTTGCGACCTTCATTTTTCGGCTTACTGACCCAGCCAGTCGGTCCTCTGCCCATGGCGGAAAGATGGTCATCAGTTCTTCGGTTTCAGGACCACCTGGCCGGGTGGCGTGCCAGGCTCGTGTGGGAGGTGGCTCTGCTGTGGCATCGGGAGTCTGGTGCGGCGGCCTCCAGCCTTTGCTGCTCACGCAGAGCAGAACTCCCAGGACCACTTTACTAACTGACTTGCTGCCCTTTCTGCACACTTGACCGTTTTGCTCAGCCCCTCCCGAGGAGGGAGTGACAGGCCTCCCTCTTCCTGTTCGCAGAGCCACACACCACCACAGCACCATGGGGACAGAGCTGTCCTGCTCAAGGCCTTGAAGGGCCGCCAGGTTGAGGAGGCCTGTTGCCATAACTATTCTGGCAGTAGTTGCTCTGTTGAATTGCAAAGCCAGAAAACTTCCAGGTTGCTGGGCCTTGGTAAATGAAACATTTATCTGTCAATAAAAACATAACAGCCCCTCGGATCCCATTATGTCAGGGATCTGCCTACTCATTTGTGTATGCTGTAGGATTCAACCCAGGGCTCGTGTGGTTGCTGTCTTGAAGGCTGACTTGTCCGTAGATGTTCATGTTTCTTCCAAGTCCAGAATTCCTCTGGGTTCTGATCCACCTCTTTCTCTGTCGAGCTGAGAGAGAGAACGGAGCCTGCTGCCACGTTAACACACATCTGTCCAAGCAGTGAGCTCAGCTGCGGGAGGCCGTGTGGATGTCTCAGCCCAGTGGTCATGAGAGATAGGGCCTGGACCACCCCCACTGAGTGGAGGCTTAACATGAGAGCTGGGGGACCCTGGGGAGGTTGTGGCTAGAGCTGCAGGAGCTGAGACTCCCAGGCAGAGCCCCACGGGAACTTGGGAAGGAAAGCCCAGTGGGAGGGGAAACACTGTCAAATAAAAGCTGCTGACAGTAACAGCTGAGGTGCCTATGTAACCACATGATTAAAGGGGCCTCAGGACCCAGAAGAATCTCAGGAACTGACACAAACGCAGCTGTTTCTGTGCATATACACAGGTTCAGCCAGCCACAGACTGAAAATAGGTTTAACATTATATCTGTGGTAAATGTCTATAGTTTTTGTTTGTTTGTTTTTGTCGTGCCTTAAACAATACATAGGTAACTCTTACACTGCATTAGCTATAAGTAATTGAGAGGTAATGTAAGGCATATATGAGGATATGCATAGGATAGATGCAAATTCTGTTCCATTTTGCATAAGGGACTTGAGCATACTCAGATTTAGTGCCCAAGGAAGGAGCCAGGAACAAGTCCGTTGAGTGTATTGATGGGCGACAGCATGTGAGCTAACCCAGAGAGGTGAAGGGCGCTGTGGCATCCGCATTTGGGTTCTGCGCCACTGAGGAAGGTTGAGTGCTCTCCAGCAGGATAGAGAGTGGAAGGATTTGTGAAGCTCACCTTTCTCTCTTCTCTGCTTGTGGGATGGGCTTGACACTGCCTGTGGCGCTTCCTACACACTTGACTGTTTTGCTCAGCCCTTCCCGAGGAGGGGGTGACAGGCCTCCCTGTCTCCCAGAAGGGAGAGACAGAGCCGTCACCTCTGCTTCAGGATGTGGTTGGCAGAGCCAGCAGGGCATTTTTGTTTTTTGTTTATTTATTCTTGTCCAGGGAGCACTCCCAAGAGCACAATAAAAGGCATGTCTAACCTTTGACATTCGCGTATATACCCAAAGCAGTGTGAAATGGGATGTCCTGCTTACCTGTGCATTGACTTGTCTGGATACAGCCCTGCGATTCTGTGCGCATGCTTTCAGCATCTCTAGTATCTCCCTCTCCACAGTGGCTTAAGTGGCTTTCCTGGAGCTGAGACTGACGCATCTGTGGACTCAGAGCCCGTGCTGGAAACTGGGCACTGGGCTAAGGGATCACATGAGGAGTGCAGACAGATTGTTGGAGCCAAGCCAAGCGCACTCCTCCATCAGATCCCTAAGCTGCCTTGGGGAGTTAACCCACCCTACACACACACACACACACACACACACACACACACACACACACACACA